GCTTGGGAGATATTTGCCTCAGCATATTGTTATGCAGTAGTAATGCAATCTTCTGACAGGCGTCAGAACCAAGTTTAAATCCCTGCTTTGAGTAGGCTGCAGCAAACTTGAATCTGGGTTGCTCACATCTCACGTCAAATACTCTAATTGCTGGACAGTAGGGCATATAAGTGTTATGTCACCCCTAGGTTTTTTAACAGCACCTAAAATATTTTACATACCTTGTCCATGGTTTTCAGACTTTTTTTAATTTTACAAAAGCCCCATAACCAAACATCATGGTTAGTTTGACTCTAGACAAATATATTTGCTCCCAAATTTTTTTTTGGATTAACCCCAAATATACATTTTTAATTTGGCCACCAGATGAAAAAAAAAGATTATTTACACAGTCCCAATGGTTTTCCTCATTTAATAACTATGTTTTGAGCAAAATCTGATATCGAGTCAAGGGTAAACTTTTAAAAAATGCTAAAGTCACTGGCCAGTTTTTTGTTGTTAGAAATATTTTTCAATTAAGTCAATTATGTTGGTGGATAGGGAGTTGAGGCCTTGAGTCATTTATCTACAACATTAATTCAGAATAATAAGATTGCCTGTTCTTCTGTGCAGAAGAAATTAGATCTGAATTAATGACATGGTATCCTTGAAATTCTGTTTCTTTACTGTTACAGGTCGACCACAAGTAAACTGTCTGCTCCCTCTGGTCAGAAAGGGCTGTGACAATGGGCTTCCTAAAGTGACACGGAGAAAGCATTTCTCAAATAGATACCTTTTTTCCAGGTTTTTAGGGGTAGATTTATGAAAGGGCCCTGAGCCCTGTGGACCAACAGATTATGAGGTCTTGCTAGTAGAGGCTGCCACATATTACAAAAATGCTGGTAGGGAAATACTTCCATCTCTATGGCTACCTCTTCCTGATCTAATCCATCTCATTCTATCACAAGTAAAAATTTAAAGCTCTCCTTCAAAGCTCTTGTTTTCCTTTCTGTAACGATGCCTCTAGAGAGGTAGTCTGCAGGAACTAAATGATAGACTTTTAGACCTAACGCTCTGCGCAAATCCATTGGTTTAGACAGCAGGAAGCTCAAAACTGTAGGCCCAAGGTCTACCAGAGAACAAAGCAAAGCCACTGTTAGCATAGTTTTTAACAAAAAAAACTCCCCTAGAATTAAAAATATTTAGCGTACATAGGATGTTTAAATGTGTTTGTATTTCTAGCAACAGAAACCTTTAGGTTAAAAGTCAAAGTACGTTAGGTTAATAGTTTTTAATTTCCAATTTAACTTTTGATTTGATCATAGATTATCAGTCATCAGTTTTGCTTTAGATGATCAAGGCCTTTCCTATCTGGATTTAGGGTCTGCAAAATGCCTTGCAACTTTTGCATTTATGCAAAATATGGTACAGGTAGATTTTAAATTGTTGACCTAATCTTAAACCAGAACTTTTATGACAGAGAAATCTCTGTCCCATTATGGTTAAGAAACTGAATTAGGGGAATGGGTGGAAGAATAAGTATCCAAGTCTCATGAAGAAAGTAAGCAATAGCTTTCAACTCCCATTTTTACCCTGACTATAGGGGTGCTATGAGACTTTTCTTATACCTTTCATAGTTTCATAGTTTCTAGGGTCAGAAGGGACCTGAGCAGATCATCGAGTCCGACCCCTACCGTGGCAGAAAACAGTACTGGGGTCAAATGACCCCAGCAAGGTCTGTACATCTAGCCTCCTCTTAAAGACCCCCAGGTAGGAGCCAGCACCACTTCACTTGGAAGTTGGTTCCAGATCCTAGCCGCCCTGACTGAAGTAGCGCCTCCTGATATCTAGCCTAAATCTACCCTCTGCCAGCTTGTGACCGTTATTCCTAGTCACTCCTGGTAGTGCTTGGGGAACAGGGACTCCCCCAGTGCCTGCTGGTCCCCTCTGACTAGTTTGTAACAGGCCACTAGATCCCCCCTCAGCCTTCTCTTGTGGAGGCTGAACAGGTTCAGGTCCCATAGCCTCTCCTCGTAGGGCCTGCCCTGCTGCCCGCGATCATGCGAGTGGCCCTCCTCTGGACCTTCTCCATGTTGTCCACATCCCTCCTGAAGTGCGGCGCCCAGAACTGGACGCAGTACTCCAGCTGCAGCCTCACCAGTGCCGCGTAGAGGGGGAGGATCACCTCCTTGGACCTGCTTGAGATGCATCTGTGGATGCATGACAAGGTACGGTTGGCCTTCCTGACTGCATCCCCACACTGCCGACCCACGTTCATCTTGGAGTCAATGATGACTCCAAGATCCTTTTCTGCCTCTGTACTGACAAGAAAGGAGTTCCCCAACCTGTAGGTATGGTGCCGCTTGTTCCTCCTCAGGTGCATCACTTTGCACTT